TCTGATACCTAGTTGCCTATAGACTTTGAAACAGATGGGAGCTTAGGGAAGCCTGGCCTTGCCAAATGAAGTCAAAAAGAGGGCCTGGTGGTAGGTGTGTGTGTGTGTGTGTGTGTGTGTGTGTGTGTGTGTGTGTGTGTGTGTGTGTGTTATGTGTGTTATGTGTGTGAGTTATGTGTGGTGTGTGTGTGTGTGTGTGTGTGTGTGTGTGTGTGTGTGTGTGTGTGATGTGTTTGGTATGTGTGTTTTCCAAAATGTAGCTTACCTATTGAAGAAAAGTCCCCTCTATTTGAGTGAAAAGAGAGTAAATATAATTGTGATCTCTTTCCTCCAAAGCAGTCAGAATATATGAGGCTCTAAGAAAATCCATAAATGATCCAGAAGGAGGTTGAAAATGATTCTCACCAGTGCCTTCATTTTATAAGAGCAGGATTTCTGAAAAGCAGGAATGAGCAGCTGGGATTTTACCATGTCTGAGCAAAGCATATGCATACGGATGGGCTTCTCACCACGGGACTAAACAGCTGATGAATCAACCTAAGGGGGGGAGGGGTTCTTCTGGCCTCAGTCAGAGGATGTAGGCCATCAGGGTTGGGGAAGGCATGTCAGCAGAAGCAGCTAACAGCTGTGGTAAGGTAAGAATGTGAGGTGGTTTGCTTTTATCTGGGTGGATCAGGAGGTAGAGACCCAACAGGAAGTGAAGCCAGGATATGGAAACTTCAAGGCTAGCCCCCTAGCATCCCATTTCCTCCAGCAAGGCCCTACCTCCAAAAGTGCTACCAAATGTTCAAACTCTTGAGTCCATGGGGGACATGTACCATAAGATATCCCATGAAATGATTCCCCCATGAGTCATACTGTCTGTATCCTTACAGAGCTATAAAAGGAAGAGTGTGTGGGAAAATGAATTTGGGATTGATCTCATGAGAAATGGAAGAACCCTTTGTAGTTCTCAGAAAACAGAGTCCGTAGCCACAAGTTGGTGGCAGTGTATTGCAGTCAAAAGTGTAAGTGTATAGCACCAGGCTAATGGGGGCTGAAACTCAGTCCTGCCTCTCACTCATTTCCAGTGAACCTGGCAGGTAAAATTTACTCTTTGGAAACTAATGGATACCAGCCCTAAAATACAGAATATCACAAACATGTCCCAGGGTTGCGAGGAAGAGTAAAATCATGGAAGGAAGCTTCTACAAGTGCAGGCAGAATCATTGTGATCACTCAGATGCCCAACGTCCCTACCTCTTCCTGGCCACTTCCCTCACAAACTGTCAAAGGCCATTTGAGATACTTGGTCAATTTACTGCAATCAAGAATCACCAGTGAAGAGAGTATCAGTGAGGGATTGATCTAGACTAGGTTGGTGTGTGTGTGTGTGTGTATGTGTGTGTGTGTGTGTGTGTGTGTGTGTGTATGTGTGTGTTTGTGTGGTATGTATGTATAGTGTCTATATGTATGTGGTGTGTGTGTATGTGATGTGTGTGTGGTGTGTGTGGTGTGTGGTGTGTGTGTGATGTGTGTGGTGTGTGGTGTGTGTGTGATGTGTGTGGTGTATGAGTGTGGTGGGGGGGAGTGTTTGTGGTGTGTGTATGTAGGATTGTCTTAATCATCTTAATTGATGTGAAAAAACCCAGCCTGAAAGTGGGTGATACCATCCCTGGGTTTAGGGCCCTGGAGTCTGTAAGAGTAGAGAAATCCAGGTGAGCAGTAAGCGATCATGCCTTTATTCTTTCTCTGTGGATATGACTAGCTGCCTCCGGTTCTTGCCTTGACTTCCCTGAAAAGATGGACTGTAACCTGGAATTGTAAGCCAAATAAACCCCTTCTCCTCTAGGGTTTTGTTTAGTTTTGTTTTGCCAGGACATTTTGATGACGGCAACAGTAGTGAAACTGAAACACTGTTCCAGGAAGGTGGAGGCTTCTACTCTAGTGATGTTGGAGCCACTCAGAACACATCTGCTGCATCTTATCCACGCCCTCTTGGGAGGCGTACCCTCTGCCTTCTGCCTCTCCCTTTTCTCCTGGCCAGGAGGCCCCCATCATTTATCCCACTTATCAGAAGTGCTTGGTGATATTAAGCAAATTCAAAATCCATAGCAACCACCTCCCCCAGAGTGGCCTTGAGCCTTCTTGGATACAGACCTGCTTGTTTTGTACCCATCACGAACTGCCAGGTCCAGGATTTGACCTCCTGCTCTCACACAGCAAGCTTCAGAAAGTGAGCCATGGAAGTGTTGGGTAGCTCATGTGTCCTCCGGAAATAGAACCAACGTTTAATTGTGGTGTCAGGTGCTCTGAAGAAACAGACCGGGGAGAAAATGAACACCTGATTTCCAGAATAGACCACATACAGTCGATTGGGGATTATGAAAAGTTGCTCCCCCCCCACCCCAGGATACAGTGCATCTGTCTATACTGGCTCCACCCTGGCCTCCAGTAGCTCCTAAAGAATGCTAATGCAAAACTGGGTCTGAGACTTCGTGTTAAGGCTTCCTCTCCCTCTCCGAGGGAAGTCTGCAAATATGCACACATTTGCTTGCCCAAGATCCAGACAGACTTAACTGGTACTCCATTCATTCTGGGAAATTCCAGGAGCCCCGTCTGGGGTGGAGGCTCGGGTGGGGCACCAGGAGGAGCTGTGGCTCATTGCATCATGTGGAGATGTCTTCTCTTCTCTCACAGACTCCACCTTTCTGAACAGTGGGGACTTTCCCCCTTAACTGGAAATCCTGGTGTCTCTTTCTCTTCTGTTTCACCCTTGACTCTTGTCTTTGAAGTTCGTAAGAATGCCATATTCTTCTCTTTAGTGGCTGGTAGGACAGGGTCTAAGCTTGTCCACAGAGGCATTTTCCACACTATGGCTCAGTGACTTTAATTGGCCAGAGGGGAAGATGTTCTTTAGTAGTACTGTCTCCCTGTACCTTCATGGAAACCTGTATGCTTATGCTGAGTGAAGGCAGTCAGCTGCTTGTCTAGACTTTCCAGAAAGGATGACAGCTGCTCAGATATTCTCCCTTGTGGCAAGCACCCTAGGAGAACTAATCGGACCAGATCCTTGGCTAAACTAAGGCCGAGAGTCACATGGGCATTCCAAAGTCACTGCAAAAGGGTCTTTTCAGGTATAGTAAACAGTATAAACTATTTTTTAAATATCCCATTTTAAAGAGATTATACATGTATGTATGCATGTGTATTATTTATATATATGTAATATCTATATACATGCACATTGTTTTACTTGCATTTCTATTGCCGTGATAAAATACCCTGACAAAAAGCAACTTAAGGTGGTTTATTTCACCTTAGAGTTCATCACTATGGGAAAAATCAAAGCAGGAACTTCAAACAGCGGCTCATAGCATAGTCACAGCCAAGAGCGCGGAGAAATGAACACATGCATGTCTACTTGCTTGCTTGTCCATGCTCGGCTCCATTTCTCTACTCCCATACAATTCAGAACCCCCTGCTTAGGGAATGGTGCCACCCACAGTGGGCTGGCTGTTACCACATCAGTTAACATAGTTAACATGACCTACCACCGATAAGCCCAAAGGGCAGCCCAATGTAAACAGTCCCTCACCGAGGATCTATTTTCCAGGTGATATTAAGTTTTGTCAAGTTGACAATTGAAGCTAACCATGCACTTAAATTAAAAAAGAAATTCAATCTCATGATCTTTGTCTACTCTAGTGTACTTTTTTAGTCCAAGGATACTAGTATATGTGACTTTGATCTTGTCCCATGACTTTTCCAGGCCTTAGAGTGGGATTAAGATGGCCTGCTTAGGGAGGAGGGGCTTGGACCTGCCTAAACTGACTCTGCTGACTCCCCAAGGGAGACCTTGCCTTGGAGGAGGTGGGAATGGGGGGGTGGGTTGGGGGGGAAGGCTGGGGAGTGAGAGGAGGGACGACAGGGGAATCTGTGGTTGATACGTAGAATGAATAGAAAAATCTCTTAATAAAAAAGGGGGGGCTGCTAATTGCAGAGGCCGTTTCCAAGTCTCCTTGATGTAGGACTGCAGGCAGGAGCCAGACCTTCTGCTCTCAGAATGGGGATGATTGGGAGGTTTCCTTGTCCTTAGAAACCTCAGAAACCTAGTGTAGGGATTTTCCTTTGAACAGATAGCCTGGCACTGTTCACTTCCCCACCAAGACATGACATGTTTTTTTGCTATAAATAAATAAATAAACAAACAAACAAACAAACAAATATTTTAAAAAAGTGTTTGGTGGTGCAGCTGTCTGTGCAAAAGCTCAGGTGCTGTGACAAAAAAAAAATTCCTGTCAAAAAGCCAAGTAAGGGAGGAAAGAACTTATTAGGCTTATAATTCCAAGTTTCAGTCCATTGTTTGGGGGAAGGTAAAGTCAAGAGCAGACAGAGAGTAAGTTCAGGGATCCTTGCCTGCTTGTGATGTGGCACTTAGCTAGCTTTTCTGTTTTTTAAAGATTTATTTTTATTGTATACATATGAGTGTTTGTCTGCATATGTACACTACATGCATGCCTAGTGCCCATGGAGGCCAGAAGAAAGTGTCAGATCCCTTGAAACTGGAGTTACAAACTGTTGTGAGCCACCCTGGAGTTCCGGGAGCTGAATATGAGTCCTCTGCAAGAACAGCCAGTGCTCTTAACATGTTCAGGGCCCGGCCATGAAATGGTACCAGCCACCTTCAGTGTGGGCCTTCCTACTTCGTCAAGACAGCCCCTCACAGATATGTCCACAGGCCAGCCTGATCTAGATCCTTCCTCATGAAGACTCTCTTCCCCAGTGATTCAAGCGTGTCAAGGTGACAACTCAAACATGCTGACATTTTGCTTCTGCCCTGTTTAACGCTTGCTGAGACCAGCTGTTGGCTGGTCAGTTGAAAACCTACAGTGTTTGTCACAGGCTATGGCTTGGAGGAGGGAACACTCAGGAGAATATTCTGGATCTACTTCAGGGTCACTCCATACATTGTACTATTCTGTATCTCCTAGAATTAACCCTCTTTCTATTTCTTCCAGATAACTTGTTCAAACCCAAAGAAAGATGCATTTCAGAGAAGGAGATGCATATGAGATCTAAAAGGTACGTGGCTGTTGTGAGAGGTATGGAAAGAGCTGGGGAGGGAGGCTTGAAGGGCCCAGACGCTGTCCCTTGGGCCACGGCTTCCAGACCCACATTTAAGGGCTGAGGTCTTGGCTGCCGATCTGAAAACCTGGTTGAGGTGAGCGAAGTTGCTGAACTGTGCGTCGGAATGTTTATGCTGCTCTTGGATCAACCTCAGGAAAGTGGTGGGTCTTGGATTCGGCAGTAGGCCCATAATTGGTCCCTGAGTGATCAGCAGATTCTGAACTGGAACTCTTTCGACGTATTTACCTTGTAGCTCTGGGCAAGAGCCATGTGCGGCTGCACCTTTGAAAGTAATTTTATGAGGAGGAGAGAACCCGTTTCTCTGGAGGGCCTTGACTGAGACGGTCCTGAGGAAAAGCTTCCAAACTGGAAGCCAGCAGAGCATGGGAGCCAGAGGGGCCTTGGAGGGGCCACAAACCAACTTTTCTGGCATGTCTGTCTCTGGCAGTCTTGGCAGGGGCCACCAAGGTACTCCTTGCTCTGCCTGGGTAGTCACTATCCAAGACTCCCACTAACTCTTACCACCCTGGGGCACACAAAGGCTACTATTCTTTTTGGGACCTGGCCTCTTAACCAGGACACAAAAGCTCAACAGGGTTGGCCATATTCACACACATAAAATGTCATTAAGCTGTAATAAAGTGCCTAGCCCTGGGAGAGATTATAGTAATTAAATCAAATTGATAGTGCACTCAGAGACACCACCAAAATAGGAAGAATAATTTTGCCCCCACTCCAGACCCTAAATTTCTGCTTTTATCGTGATTATGTTGTTTCCATGATAATTAAGTAACTTTGGTTACCTACAGGGAACCTCTTTGAAAGTAAAAAAATAAGAATTGGGGGCATACTATTAATGATATGACTCCTGGCATTCTAACTGGGGCTTACAAAGGATCCCTCCATTTGAAGACTTGCTGTTTCATAAATGAAAAGTTGTATATACCTTGCAACAAAAGCATTCTCTTCAATTTAGTGAAAAAAGAGAACAAAAGGAAAAAGAAAAGGAAAAACCTTTTCTTATTGGTCCCCAAACCTAAAACTGCTATTACAAACTCTTGCCTACCAAGCAATTTAAATAATGGACTTTCAAGCAGCATTGGTAGACAGAGTTCTGTCCTGACATGTCTCTGAGGAAGAAACTGATGTTTGAGAAGGACCAGTAAGCTAGGTGATGTTGTACCTACAGCCTTCAGTGGCCCTTGACTGGTCTCAGGTGGACCAAGCAATTAGATCTCTTTGCTAGGTGGAATGTGCCAGGCTGGGCTCTGACCCCGACTCCCCACAGTCACCTGAAACTGCTTTTTCTTCCTGTTCCTTGTCAAGCATTATGTTGGTTATATTTTCATTCAACTCAAGCAGTAGAGTAAAGCTGAAGTTCCCTCAAGACCGTTTAGCCAGCTGCCCTATGCTCAGTCCCAGGCCTCTCTGTTCAGTTCCAGGCCTCTCTGTTCAGTCCCAGGCCTCTCTGCTCAGTCCCAGGCCTCTCTGCTCAGTCCCAGGCCTATCTCTTCAGTCCCAGGCCTCTCTGCTCAGTCCCAGGCCTCTCTGCTAGGATGCCCACAGTCTGTCTCCCTTCTCTTTCCCTTCAAAGCCTCCCGTTTGTACCTTTAAGCCGACACGTGGTCTTTAACCATACATGATGTTGTACTGTGTTTGCCTTTCCTTCTATAGCTTACCATTTCCTGGTGTCATCTGTGAGCTTTCCCAAGATACAGACTTCAATCCCCCCGGGTTTTGGCTGTCTTCACAGTGTATTTTGTGGGTGCATACTATTAAAAATCAGGGATTTCACTTGAGGAAATAGTGCAGGGCCAGAGGTGGGACACAGAAGCTTTGTTTCCACTTCCCAGTTGAGTTGGATGGACGACTCAAGGAGAGGCGGTCTCTGGATTGAGGAACTGCCCTCTTGAGGACTTTGGGACCAGCTCCCCTGTGATCTTCTCTCCTGCTCCTAGTTCCAATCCCTCCTGAGTGCAGCAAAGGTATATTCCTTTATTCACATGTTTACTCAACCCTCACTAATACTCATGACGTGCCAGGCACCGTCAAAGCACGGGCCCCCTGCAGGACTTTGTGAGTAGCAGTGTGCTACGTAGTTGGGGTGCAGTGCTTCACAGTGAGTAAGAAGCGTTCAGCTTAAGATCCCAATGCCAGCCCACCATTAGCCAGTTGAGGGGCTGTGCCCAAACCTCTTGGTCTTGGAGGGATTCACCTTCCTTGTTGTATGACAGCGGGACCTTACGTACCTCTCCAGCTTTTATGAGGATTGCATGTGTTTAGTCATGTATGGTGACTAACCTGATGCTGAGTAACCAGATGTCACCTGCTGATACTGTCATTGTCCTTTTATACTTTGCACTCATGCTTCTAAGTGCAGAACATCTTAGCTCTGTTTCATCTGACTTTCATACATAAGAGAAAACGAGAAAGAGATGTTTGAATTGGGGGCCTTGTAGAGCATAGTAATCTACAAGCTCAGGATGCAGTGAGTCCATTGGAGAAAAATCAGGTGGCATCAGTAAGCAGCTGAACAGTTTGTGTTGGGGAGGGAGCAGTCTTCCAGACAAGGGCCCCTTAGTCCCTGTTGGTAACTCAGATGTTGATGATTTACATGGGGACAGGGACAAATATTTGAGTCTGGAATGTGTTTAGAATCAGCTTAATCAGACACACCACAGGCTAAGAGGAAACAAACATGTTTTTTTTTTTTGATGTTTTTTTTTCCCAGTATATGATTCTTGCTACTGTCATGTATCTGTTGTTCCTCGTCAAATCACAGGAAGTCAAAAATTAGATGGCCACAAAGGGGATATGCAGGGAATGTTGACACTCAGAATAGCAAACCAGTATGCTAAACATCCCTCCTTTTACAAGTGAATCATTATCACTGCAAATACAGGATGAGAAGTGACTTCCACATAAATACCTGGCCTCTCCAGCTTGCCTGCTACACTGCCCAGGAAGCGTCATTGAGACACTGTCCCCAGAGTGTCTATGTCCTGGGACCTCAGAGAAGTTCTTTTTTTGGGGGGGGCCACTATGGATTTAATATTTATAATAAATAATATTTAATATATTTATAAATATCTATATTTATAATTACATTATATTTTATAATATTTAATATATTTAATAAATGTATTTATATCTTTTTATTTTTTTAAATCTTTTATTCTTTTTTAACAAATCGAAATAAGAAAAAACAAAGCCATCACATTGAAGTGTTGGACAAGGCAAACCAACAGAAGTAAAAGGGCCCCAAGAGAAGGCACTAGAATCAGAAACTCACTCATTCATACAGTCAGGAATCTCATAAAAATACTGAACTGAAAGCTATAACATATATTCAGAGGACCTGGTGCAAGTCTGTGCAAGCTGCTTGCTGCTTCAGTTTCTGTGAGTTCCATGAGCTTTGCTTGGTTCATTTAGAGGGCCTTGTTCTCCTGGTGTCCTTCATCCCCTCTGGCTCTCACACTCTTTCTGCCTCCTCTTCCGTGATGTCTCTGTGCTCTGAGGGGAGGGGAGTTCTTCAGACGGGACCTCGCCATGTTAAGACCCTACCTGTAGGTTCCTTCCTGCTGACAAGCCAGGCTGCCCCCAGCCCCCAGCCCAGCACCTGCCGTCTTGTTTCTCATCATGTCTTCTGTCTGTTTCAGAATCTATAATAACTTGCCGGAAGTTAAAAAGAAAAAGGAAGAGCAAAAGAAAAGAGTGATCTTACAGAGTAACAGACTCCGAGCCGAAGTCTTCAAAAAGGTAGCTGTCTGGGGCACGCGGGTGTGATGTGGGTGGTGCACAGAGAGATGGGAACTTGACATCTTTGTTTCCCTGGCTCCTCCAGCAATTACTGGACCAGCTCCTTCAGAGGAATGCAGTCTGATCCCAGGTGGCCCTGCTAGCCACCACCTGGATCTGGGAAGACTTCCGATGCTGGATGAACCATTAAACTTAACACTATCTTCGCACGTGAAAGACACATTTACTTTACTTTTGATTTTTTTTTAACTTTCTAAATGACCCAAACAAACAAAAGCAACAGTCCTGGAGTCAATAGGTCAGCAGTCTGTTGCTGGGACTTCTATCCCTTGGAACCTACTAGACTTAGTCTCTTTTTTTTTTTTTTTTTTTTTTTTAATTTTACCCATTGCTTCTGAAGTTTTCAGTATATCATTTCCACCCAAGAAGGAAAATTTTATATATTCAAGTGTGCTTAGATGTTGGGTTTTTTTTGGGGGGGGGGCATGTTTTTTTTTTCCAAACTTTTGAGAAGCAAAACTCTATCATATTTTAATTCCCAACCCCAATGGCTGCCAGTTCTGAAATCCAAAGTCTGGGTCAAAGTCTGTTTAGCATACACATCTTGAGTAGCAGAGACTGACTTTGAAATGGACAGATAAAGAGACAGCCAAGTACAGACAACCTGGAGAGCCCTCTGCCTCTCTTCCACCCCACCCCATAGTGCCCACCTTCGTCAGTCACCCAAAGAGCTTTTTTCAGTGGGAACTTGAGAATGGCTGGGTGAGGATGTCAGTGTTTTCAGTGCGCACACACACACACACACACACACACACACACCAGAAATTGTCTTAATCAAATGACCTAGTGATACCCACTCTTATTTTTTCTTTCAAGTATTCTTCATAAATATGTATTTGTGGAGTTAAGAACAAATTAGTTTTTGCAACAAAAATGGAAATAAATACATTTATTTGAAATTCAAGTATTTCTCTACCATGTGTTCTGCTCTGTGTGATGACACCTGCTACAACACTGGGGTGACACCGTGTCTCCTTCTCCTCTACCTCTGGCCACCATAAAAGTCCTTATGCTTCTGGATTCAGGGCAAGGAATGCTGCCTCTCGGGAGCTGGTGCAAGAGACCCAGGGATGACTGCCCAGTATATACAAACATGCGTGTTCACATGTTCAGGTGCAGGTGTGTGTGGGTACGTGTGTGTTTATTTGAGGAGGCCAGAGGACAAGCTTAGGTATCTGAGTTCAAGTCCCTACATTTAAAAAACAAAAAACAAACAAACAAAAAACACCTCTATATTCTGTCCAAGAGTCAAGGCTGCCAGAAAACAAATTGTGGCACCTAGGCAAGATTTATGCAAAGGGTGACCGTGGGTAAGTACAGCTGAGAACACCAGTGAAGACGGGTTCACTTTATAACTACTAGGAAAGGTTATGCTTTGATTCCTGGTTGAGTGGCCTATGTATAAGTGACCTATAAAAAAGAGGAACCAGCCGGGCGGTGGTGGCGCACGCCTTTAATCCCAGCATTCGGGAGGCAGAGCCAGGCGGATCTCTGTGAGTTCGAGGCCAGCCTGGGCTACCAAGTGAGTTCCAGGAGAGGCACAAAGCTACACAGAGAAACCCTGTCTTGAAAAACCAAAACAAAAAACAACAAACAAACAAAAAAAAACAACCAAACAAAAAACAAAAACCATAGGCTATGGGGATCCACCTCAATTTGGTGTGCTTTCCCATGCCATGGGAAGCCATCTCCATTGACAAGAGTCTTCCCATCTGCTTCATGCCTGCCCTGCTCAGAGGAAGCAACATGACAGAACCATTGGGATCAGAGGCTGTGTGCCACTGCTCTTCCTGGTCTGTGGCCTTGGGCGGAGATGCCAGCCAGTCAGCATCTCCTAACCAGGAGAGAAACCACAGTGATCTGGAATGTTTAGACTGAATTATTACCCATATAGAGCACTGTCTAGTAAGAAGTGGAGGCAGCTCTGAAGAGCCCAAGTAGCCACAGAAATCAAGGAGCTGCTCTGGAAGGGTTCAGGTGTAGCTCCATAGATGACAGAAACTTTTTTGTACTCTGCTAGAGCAGTTGTCAGGAAGTGGGGAGCGGGGCTATGCATGCTTTGCAGGGCCTGGCCCAGAAGCCTGCTGAGCTGTATCTCTCCAGCGCCCCCTACTGACAAAGTTTAGCATTTCCCAACAGCCTAAGGGAGACTATACAAAGGGCTAAACTCCATTTTAACTGAGCAGACAAAAAAAGGGTGAATTTGGAGGTTAAAGGGAGAATACAATGAAGACCTGGCACAGTTGATTGTTTAGCATTGCCTCAGTTTCCTTAATTGCCAGATGGAAGTAAATATAGTGCCTTCTTCATGCCGTTGCTATGGAAACAAAGTGGATGTGAGTGGAGTGTGTGGAAGGATGTCTGGCCCAAAGCAAATACACCATGAGTGTTTCCTGGCATGCACAGAGGTGGGAGGAGGCATACATGGGCCATGAGTTGGTTGAGAGAGCTTGGCAGTGAGATGCTTTAAAAGGCCATTGAATGCTTGGCTTTACTGTGGCTGGTCAGTCCTGTAGGCAGGAAGTTTCATTATAAAGTTTGGTTGGGGGCTAGGGAGGTGACTTCTTAGGTAGAGGCTTCCCCTAGGCCTGACAAGCTGATTTTGACCCCTGGGACCCACAAAGAAGAAGGGAGAGCTAACTCTCACAGATTGTCTTCTGGACCTCCTCTTGTGCACCATGGCATGTGCATGCCCCCACACAAAAACAATGTGAACTCTAATAAGTACGTAAATGCAAAATGTTTGGAAAAGTCAAGTTTGGAGTTGATTTTAGTTTTAGTTTTTTGAATACAGTTTCGTATAACCCAGGCTAATTCTGAACTCTCTATGTAGCAGAGGCTGGCCTTGAACTCCTGATTGTTCTGTATCCACTTCCCAAGCTCCGGGCTTCTTATAAACTCACTCATGCCCTCCATGTTCCTCTGACTTTGGGAACCATTTCAAAGCAGCTCGGCAAAGTGGTGCTTGCTTTCTTTTGTACTGTTAGGGCCTCTTCGGGTGTCCCAGTGAATTCCTATGTACCACTTAATCGCTTTTTGAAAAATACACATTTAAGTCAAATCTATAATAGTTAAGGACAGTCTTTCTTGTATGAAGATCCTGAGACATCTGTCCTTACTTTTCTTTAGTATCTCCAGAGCAGTTCCAAAGCTTTTTCCCATGCATTCAAATTCGGGGCCCAGCTGTTTCCAGACAGTTTGATGATACTTAAGGAGGTGAGTCTGTGTCAGCTAACATTTTAAAGAAAGAATGCTAGATAGAACCACATTTTTCAAGAGTTCATAAAACACTCACCTTCAAGGCAAATCTGCTTCTGAGACTTCAGATGTAAAGAAGGGAGAGTCAACCGTAGATTAAAAGGCACCGAAGAGTGTTTTCAAGGACAGTTCTTCACTAAGGTCCCAGGGAGGGAAACTACGTAGGCATATGGGGTCTGATGTGGGGACCAGACCACTTCCTCTGGACCAGCTGTCTCAGCACAAGGCAGAACATCAAAATTTGGTTTCCTGTTGCACTTATTATTGTAGAAATTCTTTTAATGCTGACGAATGAATTTGACACAGTCTGAGTTTCTCTTCCATCATGAAGTAATAACAGAAATATATAATGTTACGATCAATATGGAAATCAAGGCTTGCAGAATTAAAGCTGCCATTCCTCCCCTTCTCTCAGGAACTGGCTACCATTTGCTGAGAAATTTTATGAAACTCAGTCCTCAAGAAAGACTCTGAAGGATTTGGAAATTCCAACTAGACTTTGCCATAGTAGCCTCAATAAGCAAACTCTTCTCTGACAGTGGTTTATTTGCATCTGAGAATGGTTTGGGTCCAGCACAGAGACAACCTCTCAGAGATGCAGCAGGCAGAGGGCTGAGGGGATTCGAAGGAAAGACTCCTGAGTCAGGACCAGGCAACATTTGAAATCCGTGGAGATGTCCAGGTGGTAAGAGAACTGGGCTGTCTCCCGGTGGTCCCCATGACTTCCTGGGGAAGGAGCAATTCCCACTGGGGTTATGCATCCTGTCTGCCAGCTGGTAATGGGATAATGGGAAAACAATTGTCTTGGCTCTTCAGCCAGCGCCTGTTGCCAACCCAACTTCCTGGAAGTTGTGAGCTCCCTGGGTGAGTCAGCAAATGCTTGCTCAGAGGAACGAAACTCTTTGAAAGAAGTATTTGTGAGGCAGCCAATCATGACAGAGTAGTGGAGATTTCTCTGTCTCATATAGTCCCTGCTTTTCAACGCTTACTGGCCTCTGAGTGTATCGGATGACCCACAGTCTGAGTATGAGACACAGTGGATGCAGGGTGACAAGAGAGAGGAGGAGGGGGCAGGATGTGTCTACTCAGGGAGGGTGATCTAATCATTGGTACATGAGAGTTCTGAGTCAAGCAACTAAGAATGTGGTAGAAAAATGACTGCTGTGGGTTGATGGGAATGCACTTATGGGTACACTCAACACAAAGGAAGTGATCTGCTAAGTGATTAAAATGTGTCCATCAGCAGATCGTTCCACACGATAGGGTTCCTTAAATTTGTACTTTCATCGAAATTGCCCACAAATGTGTAGCTCTGTAGAGACCTTTGAAATCTGCCATCGTGGGCAGAAGCAGCTCATTCCTGGGACTGAATCACTTTGGGTGTTCCTCTAGGTCTCTTTCTTGTCTTGCCCCATGCTGTTGGGACATGGCTGGCTCATGCAGAGTATGCAACAGCTCCTTGAGATTCTGGGGAGTGCCCCACCCCCACGCCCTGTGGCTTGTTTTAGAGGGACAGGTCCCTCCATCAAGGCAGAATCTTAGTCACATGGACTGTACCAATGATTACTTTGCAAGCCTCTTCAAGAGTCCAGGGCTTTTCTTCAAGTTGCATCCGTTGTTTCACTTGAAGACTTGATCTGAGGTCCTCATCTAGAGTGTGCACAGAGGAAGGGAGAAGATGAGAAAATTCTCCTCTTTTGTTCTCTTCTCTGGAAAGATTCCTGGACACGTCCTGAATGGCACCTGCTTGGCCATGGTGCAACCAGAAAGGTGACTTCAAGTAGTAGCCTTCCTCCCAGATCTAAGCACCTCATGACCTGGGAGGGGACCTGGGAGAGGACCTGTGACCTGGGAGGGGAGCTGAGAGGGGATCTGGAAGGAGGAGACAACTTACTCAGAGCTTCTCAAAAGAATGAAGCATTATTAAAACAAACAAAAACCTTTTAAAATTCTTAAGAAAGGGGGTAAGAAGGTGACACAGTAAGCTGCTTGACACACAAGTGTAGGGACCTGAGCACTGCCCCTAGAACCCATGTAATAAAGCTGAGCCCAGCAGCACATGTCTGCAATCCCAGTGCTGGGGAGGAAGAGACAGGAGGATCTCTGAGGCTTGCTGACTACCCAGTCTAGATAAGACAATGAGCTCCAGGCTTGGTGAGAGACCCTGCCTCAAAAACTAAGGCGGGGGAACAATTGAAGAAGACGTTTATTGTCACCCCTGGCTTCATACATGTCACACCCATGAGAACAGGAACATGTACACATCACACACACACACACACACACAGAGAGAGAGAGAGAGAGAGAGAGAGAGAGAGAGAGAGAGAGAGAGAGAGCTGAAAATAAGAGGGAAAATGTGATGACTATTCATGGTTGTGAACTTAACTATGTATGTCTGGAATTAACTAAAACCCAAATAACTGGGCACATCTGTGAGAGATTTTTTTTTAATTAAATCTTTTGCATTTGAAGTAGAAAGACCCACTTCCAATCTGGATCTTTGAGGTGGGAAGATCCACCTTTAATTCAGATCTTTTGAGGTGGGAAGATCCACCTTTAAACTGGGCCACACCTTCTGCCGGCAGCCTGTATGAGGACATGGAAGAAGGAAGCTTGCTCTCTCTCATCTGCTTGCTCTCACTCTTG